CACTACATTTACCTTTTTCTACAACTGAATAATTCAAATATATTTGAAAAAAAAAAGTCCTAGAACTGTAAAATATCTATAGGGAGAGTCCCCCGTCTTGCTGAAAAGTGGGATTTTAAAGCTCTGGAGAAAACACTTATTTATAGTCTCCTTTGATCTGGAGTCTGGACTAATCAGTGCACAATGATGGGTCAGTGAACAACAGTATATAAGGGGCTGAACTTATTAAATTATGTAACCACTGAGTTGCCATTTCACTGTGCATTGCACACTCCATACAACCTAAATGTGGTACTTACATTGCTTCTTGGAAATTCTGTGTGTACCCAGTCAAAACAATAACACATGCCTTTGGAAGTTTAAAGGTGTTGGGATGCTAAATAGAGTAACCAGTGTTTTAATTAACGAGTAGCTCTTACTAATCAGATTTTGAAATAACTGATACTAGTTGTACAAATGTAACTCTCATATAAGTAGCTATGCTCTTTAAGAAACATACACAGGGCCAGCAGCAGCTAATCTTATTTACAGGGATATGAAGGCCCTTCATCTTTAGTGCAATCTACTAGCCAAAAGTTACATCATCACAGCTGAGGCTAAAGAGGAAAGGCTTTCAGACCACATACATGGATCAGCTGCACCTAATATTATAATAGCGTTTTAAAACAGCTGGTGGAGGATATATTTTTCTAGGTCCTGCCATTCTAGAAGGTACAAAGATTGCTGATGAGATTCACTCAGGAGTATCCAACCTGAAGGGATCACAGAGTAGTTCCAGTGATGGTGGGAGTTAAGGCTTCAGAAGAGAAACTTTGGGGATGGCCAAAGAAAGTTGAATGACTTCCTGTGCAATTATGTTCACCCCTAAGACAGCATATTACTGATGCAGCTGTGGGTGAATGTAACAAAGCTGGCTTGCCTCATCTAGCATCAAGTCTAATTTCTGTGCCTCAGTTCTCCCGTGCTCTTGAATAGATGAATATTTCAGTAAGGTGGCAATATGGCCCTCCAGTCTAATGGCCAAGAGTCTCTTCACCCATGGAAAATAAGTTGAGAACCAGGCTTCTACAAATGCTCCCTTGTTTTCTCCAGATGAAGTCCTTTCTTTTGGTTGCAGGATTCCAAAAGTTTTTGCTGTTCCATGGAATCTTCAGGACTTCATCAATAAAATAACCTGGAGTGGGTGAAGATCTCTGGGGGAAAGTTCCCTAGCTTTTTCACTCCTGATGTATGAAGGTTTTTGCACTACCACTCTATGTTCTCCTCTGCTACACAATATAGCTCTAGACTTTTCAGTCCCAGAACAGCTATCTGCTGTTCTCTCCACCCACCTTCTGGTTAGTCATCTTCCTAGATCTTCCAACACACCCATCAATGGAACTTTTAGTGCATCTGTCCCACAGGGAATCAGTTCTCTCACCGGAAAGTCATAGCTTTCCCACAATGAAACAAACCAGATCTTGCCACATCTCTAATTTCCTTTATGTTGACCCCTCCATTTCCCAGAAGGTCTTGTTTCTAACCTCATGACCTTCTATGGACTGCACTTTTCAAAATCCCTATTCTCAAAGGATCAGAACCTACAACAGGGATCCAATGCCTGCCCTAAAAGAGGGGACAGTAAATATTTTATACACTGAGTTGTCGATTGACGGATCTCATCTTCTATGACATCGTTGGTGAGTGACTAAGCTAATCCTCGATTGGCAAATCCAATTACAGATGTCATATAAAATCCACCACCTGTGGGTGTTGTACACTCTTTTTGGATCCTATACTTTTTTTTTTTAGTCCGCATATGTTGACTCGCAAAGTCTTTAAGTATCTTTATAATGCTTGCACCAATAGAATGCTTTCTGTGAACAAGCTGGCCATAGACCATCTTTGGTATCTGCGTATTATTCATCCTCATAACATGATCAATCCAACAAAACTGTTTGTTCATAACCATTGTTTCCATGCCCCAACACCGCACAGCTTAAAAACCACTGTGTTAGGAATTTTGTCCCACCAATTCACATGGGCAATCTTCCTGAGGCAGAGCATATGAAACTGATTGAATTTCAAAACGTGACTGCAATACATGGTCCATGACTCCAAGCCGTACAGAAGGATAATCAGGAAAACTGCCTGATAAGCTGTTACCTTTGTATTAACGCCATGGTCATTCCATAAGCGCTTTTCAATCTTCCAAAGGGAGGGATGGCTTTGGCTAGTTGAGCAGGGTTTATGTTGGATGATAGAACATTTCCAAGGTAGCGAAACTTATTAACAGCCCTAAGGGCAGTATCAACAGCAATGATCACTGGAGAGCTGGGCTCTTTCCAAACAGACTGGGACATAACCCCTTCTTCTTGAAGCTCACAGCGAGTTCAAATGGTGAGCAGAAGTAGCAAGATGATCAAAAAGCTCTGACTGAATGAGCCAGCTATGCACAGCCATCAGCAAACAGGTCACGGATAGTTGTAGTGAGCACTTTGGTGTGAGCCTGAAGTCTTCAGAGACTGAAAATACTACCATCAGTTCAGAAATGAATAGGTATGCCCAACGTACCATCCTTGAAAGCAACTAGCACTTGCCACTGTATAGTACACACTGTACCAGAGTAAATGGCAACACATTTGAAAACAATACATTTTGGGGCAATCCTGTAGACTATCCTAACGAAACTGGCAATTCTCCTAATAAAGCAACACAAATGTACAGGGCAGTATCCCACAGAACCAGGTCTCTCCCTTCTAATACCATGGTATTTATATAAACTGCAAAGGACCTAACAAGTCCCTGGACCTAGCAATTAGCAACCCACAGCATGTAGCTTTTTCCTGCAAAAAGAACATGAAAGGAACCTAGAACCAACCTGCATAAGAAAGCAGGAAAAAAGTTCCAATTATGTAAGATACAATTAACTGCCATCATCTCTTGTTATGGTTTATGTAATTGGGTATGGTTATGAAAGGTACCATCAGCCAACATAATTAAAGCAGGGCTCTAACAGAAAAAAGTTTGAAAGTACATCTATAGAGAAAATCATAAACCAGGATTTAAGCCCAGAAAGCAGAGATATTTGCAGAGGTGAAAGTGAAATGAAAAACCTTTCAATACCCTGAGGACTGTATTTCCCAGTTTCCGTTTTAAAGATGCAGAGAAAAATAACCACTGAGCACAGATTTTATGAATAGGATTTTATAGTTGTACATGTGCCTAAAGCAATGACTAGACACATTTTAAATAAACAGAAAGGATAGTTGTATTTACAGTATTTAATAAATAATGTAACTAAGGTGATGAGGCAGACTTCAGTTTGGCTATACAAATGTTGTCAAGAGCTTCCTGTAGTCATTCTTCCTGTCCAATATTACTATTGTAATAGCTAAAATGAGAAAATGGCAGAGTCTTTTAAGAGGCTAAAAGAGAGGACAATCAGGAGAAAACATATCTTAAAGCTGATTTTCAGACAAAATAAAAATAAAATTTGGAAATAAATCACCCGCAAAATAATTGGACTTTCATGAAAACTGAAAATACATCAAAATATTGCATGTTTAACATTTACTATCTGCAAGAGATATTTCATGCTAAAAGTAACAATCCAAGGGAAAAAAATCTGCTTTCAGATCTTCATTGTAAGTCTGAACTCCAATAGTCTCCATCCATCCTATGTATTAAGCTCATGGTTCAGACGCATGCAATTTAGTTAATGTGAGCATAAGAAGCTTTCCCTGCTAGTATTAAACCTTCAGAAAGCGGGCTCTGATGAAAATCTGGGAGCATATATATGAGATATTTTCAAATAAATATATGGACCATGTTTTATGTAGCTTCAGAGGGGTAATCAAGTTAGTCTGTAACTGGCAAAACTTAAAAAACAAGGAATAGTTTTGCAGCACCTTAGAGACTAACAAAACATGTAGCTTTTGTGGGTACAATCCACGTCTTTTATGTACTCAATGTTATTACCCATCACAATTTTGTTACAAGTCTCCCAATGTTTGGTGTTATTCTTAAAAGTTCTGGAAGTTATAATTTAGGGGAGACTCTTGGCTTTCATTTAAAAAAAAATAAGTTTCTAGCCCTCATGTTTGTAGAGGAAAACATGACAGTAAGACTTCAAAACCCAGCAGGCCAGTAAAAATATCTCAACTAATCACTGTTAAACATCTCATTACTTTTTGAGAGCTATCTTTTTGAGTTTGGGACTGGCAGTACAGGGGATGTCAGCAAAACAGGCACAATTCAAATCCTTTCCACCAAGTGGTGCCTCCTAACCAAAGGCACGTGGATTAGTTGGCATAAAACAGCAAAGCCCTGCCCAATGCATAAGACAGCCTAGGGCAGATCCTATGGCCCTGGCTCCCCATAGGACTGACTTCCACTCCCTACAGAAAACCTAGATCTGTCCCCTTCAACTCCTTCCTCCACCTCTCTCTGCCCCCCTCCTCCAGCTCCCCCCTCCACCCCACCCTTCCCTTCCCAGCCACTTTCCTCTCCTCCCCCCACCATCCAGAAGCACAGACCTAATAAGGAGAGAGAGGCGGCACCGGAAGCCCCGCCTCCCCCCGGCTAGCCCTTTCATTGGCCTCTTCACTCCTACTCTGGAAGCCAGCCTATCTGCCCCCTCCCCCCTCCCTTTGCCTGCCGAGGGGGGCTTACCCCGTTCGGCCCAGCCTTACCTCCCATCCATTTGCTGCCTGGCCTGTCAATCGAACCCTTTCCCCCCCTCCCTCCCCCAGGCGATAGGCTCGCGTTCTGCGCCTGAGGGTCCCGCCCTCCCTGGAAAAGAGCCCGTTCCCCCCCGGCTTCTTCTCAAGTGCGCAGGCGTGGGAGCCACTGTGGGGGCGGGGCGAGTCGCCGCGCTTGAGAGAGAGAGAGTGTGTGTGTGTGTGTGTATTGCCAGGCGAGTGGCGCGGCGGCAGCAGGCGGGGCTGGGGGGAGGGAAAGAAGGGCAGCGCGCGCGGAGCCGGGCAGAGGAGCGGCGCGAGCGCTGGAGCCTGTACGTGCGCGCGCCTGCCTGCCTGCCTGCCTTTCCAGGAGCGGGGTAGCACAGAGCCCCTCGGGAAGGGGGGTGTCCCTGTGCGGTGCCTCCCCTGCTTCATGCACCACCCCCAGCCCAGCCACGGGGCGGGATGGCTGGAGACGGGCCACGCTGAACTAACTCCCCGTGTTTTTCCTGCGGGGGCAGCGGCCGTCCCCCAGCAGCAGCAGCAGCAGCAGCAAGCGGCACCCACTGCTCTGCCGGTGCGTGCGGGGAGAGGGAGCCCGTGTGGCTGCGAGCTAACCTCCGGAGGCAGGAGCGCGGCTGGGATTTAACACACCGCTGCCGCGGGGTGGGGGGGACGCGTCCTTGTCCCTGGGACTGAAGCCAGGCGCATAAGGTGGGGTGAGAGACAAAAGAAGGGGGAAGATTTATTGGGGGGGGCTTATTTTGGGCTCTTTGCCTCCTACCTTCTCCAACCCCCCCCGAGTGGCTCGTTTTGTTGTCCTAAACAATTGCTGGTCGCAGGCGTTGGCTTTCTGGTCTTTTTTAACGTGGCAAATGGAAACCCATATGCCTTTGTTGTCTGGTGACAGGCTTGTGTCCCTGGTGAGCTATGTGTGTACATAATTAACTGTGTGTTTATTGGCGTCTTTGGAAAACGAAACGGGAGTGTAAGTGATCTTCAATAGGCTCGTTTTGTTGTCCTAAACAATTGCTGGTCGCAGGCGTTGGCTTTCTGGTCTTTTTTAACGTGGCAAATGGAAACCCATATGCCTTTGTTGTCTGGTGACAGGCTTGTGTCCCTGGTGAGCTATGTGTGTACATAATTAACTGTGTGTTTATTGGCGTCTTTGGAAAACGAAACGGGAGTGTAAGTGATCTTCAATAGTGTTAGGTTCACCAGTGGCTTTTATTTCTTTATGGGGAGCCTAGAGAGGGTGGAGGTAGAGTGTGTATACTCCTAGTTCTGTACATGTGGTTTGTTTATGGGTAAATTCAATTCTGCCTATCCATTCACAAGTGTAAATTTGCCCTCAACTTCTTTATGTTTACATTGACAACAAATCAAGGGTCACTTGTCAGTGTAAAATCAGTCCAGGTGGGTTTGTACTCTTCATCATTAAAAGTTAAGTTAGTTCCCAAACTCTTGTCATTTGCTGGTTAGGGAAGGGAAATGGTACCTCATTGTATGGTTTTGTTTTTCTTTTTTTTTTTAAATGGCAAAATGCCTTTAGAACACCTCATGATAACACTCTTATTTCTTTATTTTAAGATTGAATCCCAGATGGCCAATTCCCTGAATGGCCGGAACCCAGGTGGCAGAGGAGGAAACCCCCGCAAAGGGCGTATTCTGGGCATCATTGATGCTATTCAGGATGCCGTGGGGCCCCCCAAGCAAGCAGCTGCTGACCGCAGAACTGTGGAGAAAACTTGGAAGCTAATGGACAAAGTGGTAAGTTTTGATGATAATCTGTTCCCTTGTTGAGGAAGGAAGTTATTTACATGGGTCCATGTGAGAATCTACATGTTCCTGTAGATTTTTTTCCATATGTATGTCCTTGTTCAGAAGGGAAGGGATATGCATTTTAGGTCATTTAAATCTATTTGTTCATTTTGTTGGCCACTGGCTATGTTTTTTTTTTTTTTTTTTTTTTTAAATCTAGTTTAGGTGGGGAAATGTACATGTTTGCCTTGAGTTCTCCTGCTCTTGTTGGTCAGAGTCCTTAAAAATAACTAAGACTTGTAAAGCTGTTGTAGAAAACAACTTAACTTATGTCTTGTACATCAGATAGATATTCTTTGTGCTTCAGAGTGCATTCTGCTAGTCTGCAAAGAAAATCTCTTGAACATGAAACTTCAGTTAAGCTAATCATCCTGTAAAGCACTCTCATGACAATATGCATCCATGTTTGTAAAAATATTGCCTGAGGAGGAAACAACTCTGGTTATCCTTTAATGGAATACACAGATTAGTAAGAAATCCTTTATTTTAAAATCTTTTGTCTTCATTTTTCATAGTTTTTTTTTTTTAAAGTACACTTCTTTGCTTAAATAGTTTGGAACTGGAAATATATTTTATTGATAGTTACTCACTATGTGGATTGGGGGGATGGAACAATGATTTATAGATCTTGTAGCATTTTCATGTTGCTTTCTCACAATCTCCCATTTTATTAAATACTAGTGGGCTGCGCCCCGTGCTGGCTATGCTCGCTAACCCCCCTCTCTCTGGCCGTGAGCATGGGAGCATGATGACATCAATGATCGAGAGTGTGATGATATCACTCTGTTGCCCAACAGGGAAAACTTTATCCCTCTTTCTATCTAATGAGGGGGGATATTATATGATGGAAGTGACAGCTTTGTATAAACTATGTATAAATTAACTAAAAAGGTGCTGTGTGAAGAGAGGAATATTTTGTAATGTGGGTAACTCTCAGGAGGCAGAGTGACTTGGTAGGTAAGGGCTGGATTTCTGAGGATAATAGCACAAGGAAGCTTTTTGTAATCATTGAGGATTGAGATTTTAATATGTGATAGTATCCATCCAGCCCTAGAACCAAAGAAGATGCTGCTCTAAGGTTTTGTCTACAGTACAAAGTTAGGTCGACAAGGCTGCTACACTACAATGTTAAGTGCAGTGTCTATGCTACAGCTTTGCTCCTGCCTATATAAGTCTCTTACTACATCAACATAAAACTCCACTTCCACAGGAGATGTAGGGCTTATGTTGGTGTAGTTAGGGCAGTGCAGTATCTGTGTAGACACTGTGCTCTTTGCATCAGCTGTTGACTGTCCTTGTAAATTTGATGGGTCAGCCAGGCTGCTATCTCTGCTTCAAGTCAAGCTGCCACCCATGTTCCCTACTGGGAGCCCTTCCTGCCCCAGGATTCCTGCTTCCTGTTAGAAGCACAGCAGCTGGACTCCAGGTGTGGCTTTTCCCATTGGAGGGGAAAAGCTCCCCAGTTCGCTTATCCGGCTGGGAGCAGAAGGCGAGAAGTTCCTAAAGACAGCTGGGGTTCCTGCAAGCTCTCAGCTACTCCCCCTACACTGCACTGCTTCACTCAGTGGAAGTGCTGTAGTGGCCATAAGTCGATCTAATTTAAGTTGGTTTAAGATTGTAGTTGTAGACGTGTCCTAAAGGTAGATCTCTGATGTTGGCTCTGACTTGGGAAAGTCAATGAACTCTCTCTGTCTTTGATTTCACGTACTTTTAAAAAATATGGCTTTTTTTAATTTAGAGGTGTGTGCGGTGGTATATGAAAGCAAAATATTTATAACCTTTAAGAAATCCTTCATGCATCTTGTCAGTATAATTTATTGGAACTTATTTGCCATTCCCTGCTCATACCACTAGAATATAACTTGTGTGTGTTAGAAGATCCCTAAAGCAGGGGGACTCAGACTGGGGATTGGGACCCCTCAGGGAGTCATGAAGATATTACCTGGGATGTCGTGAGCTATTAGCTTCCACCCAAGTACTGCTGTGCCTCCAGAAGTTATAATGGTGTTAAATTAAAAACACTATTTTATGAGGGAAGGAAGGGGGAGGGTCACATTAAGGGTGTGTCTAAACTATATGGCTTCGTTGATGGAGCCATGTTGATTAGTCAGGACGGCAAAGGGAAATGAAGCCGTGATTTAAATAATCGTGGCTTCATTTACATCAAAATGGCCACGATTATTTAAATCGCGGCTTCATTTCCCTTTTTTCGTGTAAACTAATCTACATGGCTCTATCGATTGAGCCATGTAGTTTAGACATACCCTCAGAGGCTTGCTATGTGAAAGGAGTCACAGTACAGAAGTTTGAGAACCATGGCCCTAAAGTTAATTCTAAAGGACAACCATGAGGTAAATGGGTGCTACTCCAAAAGCTTCATTGGAGTTTTTGGCATATATAGGCAGTTGGAGTCAAGCACTACTTTTTGGTTTTCATATTGAAAACATGGTATCTGTCCATATCATGTTTGAAACAATAAAGGGAATGTACAGAAAGCCTTTGTATGTTTTCCTTTGATTAGTTTGAATCTTAACCTCATTGTTTAGAATTATCGATTGCTGTCACTCAGCATTTGTAGAACAACTGTCTTGTCATTGTTTTGATGCATTGATGTAATAGACATTGGGTGGCCCATTCTGCAGAAATACCCGGAAAGGCTGCACTTTTTTTCTTTTGGTTTCACTGGCTGAGTGACCTCAGTTTTGATCTTCATTGTATCATCTTAAAGCTGCAGTTAATCAAATTGTATTTTTAAATTTCATTAAAGTATGCCAGACAGGGTGATGTAATGGTGTCCAAATGTTGTAACTTGCTTCTTGAGTTAAGCATTTGGTACTTGTAGGGAAGAGAGCATATTTGAATAAGTGTCATGTGTTAGGTTAGAAGACTGAACATTTGTTGTTTACTTTCTGAACAGTAAATCAAAAATTTACTGTAGACATTGCATTATTGACCTTGTGGTTATGCAAAACAGCTTTACTAAAAGGTTACAGAAATGATACATTTCTTTAAGAGGGGATGCCAAAATCCAGTTTTTTTTCTTTAATGGATTCCAATGGCTGTACTAAGTACAGTTACAGAGTGTGAAACCTAATGTATAAATTTATTATTCTTAAGATTCAATGTAACATTTCAAATGTATAACTTCCAAATCAATTACGAATTATAGTACCTCAAAGGCAGTAATTCAGTACATTATAACCACAGCTTTCTTGTACAGGTTGAACCTCCCTAATCCAGAATTCTCACATCTACAAACATCTGTTGTCCATAATGATTTTAGTTAGCTGGATGTCCAGTTTTCATGAGTGTAACCAAGTTTCCTGTGGTCCCATAAAGTTTGTTTACAGTCACCACTCCTGGCGCTCAGTGTTCTGTGCTGTTATTTAGCTCCAATTTATCGCTAAATGTCCTCTTAACAGCCCAGTAAGCAGTGGAAGTGTTGGAAATGCTGCTGCACAATATTGGTCTCCCGTGATCCAGAAAATTCTCTCGGAGCCACTTAGATCCCGAGGGTGCTGGACTAGTGAGGTTCAACCTGTATATATGACCTGGACCTTCCACTGTGTTTTAAATATTGATTGAAAAATTAGGGAAGCATCCCTTTGCCTGTTTCTGAATGTTCATGTGGCAGATACAGGGCAGGATCAGCACATCAAAACATTGCATTTCAGCTTTTAAAGTAACATGGCTACCTTTGCATCCCTGTGCCCATATTAAAACCATTACAGTATGGCAGCTGTCAAATCTAGAATGTGCACACCCTCTTTTCCCTTGGTAGGTAGGAAAATGTGTCTTCTGATGAGAAGTCCCCTTACAGATGTCTTCTTTTCACCTCTTGGTAATGTATCCACCTGGAGTGTACAATGCCAGAGCATTGATAGTTAAAGCTGCCTTGGAGTAGTGGGCTTTGGTGGGTGATTCTGCCCCTTGTGATGAACTCTGTTTTCCTTGTAACCCATCCGTGATTTCATTCTTGAGGATTGTGAGCTGTGGTTTGCTGGAGATGAGAAGTGTTACAATGTCTTGCTGCGTACCTACTTTCAACCTGTGTGTGGTATTCTGAACCAATGTATGTATCTTGTGTGATTCTGCATGGAGTGCTGGAAGATGCTGTTTAAGTAGAGCTTTTAAAATTCTAACTTTGGAAATATACTAGTCACTGATACTGTAATTGTCATGCCCATTTGATCCAGCTTATTAGAGATAATTTCATAAGTCAAAATTGGCAGATATTTATTCAGTTGCCATTAGTAACTTTTCTCACGTGGTCCTTGATCAGCATTTAAACATGTCCTGTCATGCCTGTATTGCTGTACTTTGCTGGACAATGTAAAGCTGTTTTATCAAAGCATTAAACCTGTGACTTTTTTAAACAGCTTTTTAAAAAGATCATCATGCAACAAACAGAACACACTGTGTCCTATATGAAATTAAATGGCTAAATAAGGGCAATAGAAATCTCTTCCTTCTAATCTGAAGATACTGTAAAACATTTTACATATTATACAATAATATTTTTAGATGTTATACTGCCACTTCAAAGTGTTAGGTATTTTTTGTTTATGACACATATCAGCAGAGTTACTGAGCACCTCCCAAGTAGTTGAAGAAACACAAAATGAATTCTCTTTCCC